GCTTGGGAAAGTTTTTGGACTCTTGACCCTGGAAACTGATGTTTCCTTGGTGTCCATATTGAGAGTGTACAATTGAGAGTGCAGGGCTGTCCCCTATACCCTTCTACCCTGCAGAAATCTGGTTAATGTACGTCAGCCTTGACTGGGAGACAATCACCCCTAGATTTAGACAGCTGGAGACTTAATGGCCTTTCACAAGCATGTTAATTATTGATTGTGCCCAGGTTTCTATCTCTAGGGAAATGTCTTCAGAGTACCAGCTCTCCTCCCTGGGACTACCAAGTAGCTGCTATGTGGTGACATTTGCTAAGTACAGTATTGACATGGACCTAATCAGAGGCAATCGTTAACCAGCCTGTTTAATTTCTGTTTCTCACTTAAATTCAGGCTGTCTTAGCTTTGACAGGGATCTGGGTCTGTTGTGGAAGTGCCAGTTCATTTTAGTCTCTTGATTTATATTTAGTCTCATATATATCTATCACAATAATAACTTGTCTTCTTACAGAACCGTAATACAAATCATACTTTTTATTCATATTTATCCTCTTAACTAAAGAAACAGCAAAAAGGACAGGAAGCCTGCTCCCTTTAATCATGGAGGCAATACTAATAATAGGACAAAAGGAAGCGAGTGACATGCTGAGGAAAAGAAGTAACAGAGCTCGAATATGCCAAGAATTTGGTGTGAAAGTCAGTGGCTGCCTGCGTGTGCAAAGGATGTGGAACTGCTTATGCATGCTGATCAAGTGATACAACAACATAATTGCACAGCATAGCAGCCACTAAGTGCTGCTTCTGCTTAGACATGGTGTTTTGTATTTTCAAACAACCTGTCTGCAGAAACATCATGCTGTCATGATAGAAGTTTCTTTGCAGACATGTTTTTGATGTGTGCTTGTATATTTTGTCCTTTCTTATGTTTTGTTCCAGAGTTTGCTGTCATAGGCAAACTTGGCTTCCAAAAGACCTGGATCATTTTATTACAGATCTCAGAGCGTATGATTATGCAGGCAAGGATTAGACAAAAAAAATCTCCTCTTCAGGGCATTAACTGTTTCAAAAAAATGAAAAGGCAGCCACAGAGGTAAAAGACGGTTCCCCACAACCACTAGCCATTAAGGTGCTGTACAAATAGCTGGTTACTATGTATTATTAAGGAGCTTTGTGAAAGGAAAGAGGGTCTGTCGGCCTCCCTTGCAAGCATCAAGTAGTAACCCTGCTGGTGGCAGGATACTGGACTTAATGGGCCACTGCTCTGACCTGGCATGACAAACCTTCACAGTCACTTCTACCATTAAGCATCATAAACTCCTCTGTTGCCCCTGAGTAGCACCATAATGAAGGAGGGTGACTGGGGCATCAGCCTCTGGTACCAAAGTGGGATGGGGGCAGAGGGTCAGCCACAAAAATAGCAGCAATTGCACTGCCAGCTCAGCTGCCACCACTGCACCAGCAACACAGCCACTGATGCTGCCTGGTGAGCTGCAGTCACCCAGAGCTCTCAAGGGTCTAGTTACACCTCTGTCTACCCAGTGGCTACCTCTTTTTGTGTAGTAAAGCTGGCTCTGCTCTTTGGAAAAAGGGAAAAATCCTCTTCTCTCCTTCTCAGCAGACTTGCCCACTCTTTCAAAGAAGTGTGCTTCCTGGCTTTCCTGATTAATGTTTTATGGTGTCATCCTGTTCTAGAAAGGAAAATGCCTTTCAAACCTAAAACCAGGCTCTTCTGACATTCCAGCTGCCTGCTGTTTTCATGCCTGTCTTTTAAATACCAGCTCTAGGGGTGGTCTTAAAAAAGTTATTTTGACACTGAGCTGTAAGAAAGCGGTGAAGGAGGAAGCCTTTTTCTGCTTGGCTTGCTTAGATTTTTTTATAACACAGTTGATCATAGTTCAGGGCTCACTGCCCCTCTGCTGCCACCTTCTACCTTTCCAAGTGCACCCCTTGTGGCATGAAACCTCATGTCTCAGCCCTTCTTCCCTGCCAGGGGAGGGTCCCAGAATTCCCCCTCCTCAAGGAGGTGCTAGTCTGAATTTTTGTACTTTGTGTGTTCATGTTTTGTACTTTACTGTGTGTTCACATTACCCTTTCCCCAACGGATCTGCACTTAGTTCTTGCTTTCAGGAGTTTTTTGGCCAGTTACAAATATAGTCATCCAAAAGAGCCCTCTTCACAAAACTGCTCAATCTTCCCAACAGGAACAAAGAAGAGCAAGAGAAAAGGATTCTTAAAAAAAGTCAAAAGGCATAACCACTCTTACCTGGGTAGGCCAGACCCTGGTAACTCTTGGGTATCTATCTGTTCCCTATCAGGTTCTGCCTCAAATCTCCACCGCCTGTCATTTAAGGATGCAGACAGACATGCAGCTCCCCGCTGTAACTCTGAATACTTTCCAGGAAGCGCTCCAAGTTGCAACAACCTTGGGACCAAACAGAAGTTCCCTGTTGGTTCCAGTGGGGAGGGGAATCTAGCTGCTGGCTGGGAGCAGGCGGTTTCCTCTAGGAATGGCCCCTCCTCCCTGCCAGCCGGTGCTGTTTTCAGAATGGGAAGGGGGGAAGGGAGCAGAGGGAGCTCCTTCTCGGGGTTCCCCAGCCAGGGCTGGAGGGTGGGATGGGTGAACTGGAGCTCCCCCCATCTTGGATCCTCCCCACCACCCCCCCAGAAACCAGCAGGGGCTGAAAAAACCCAAGACCAAACTCCCTCCATTTCCTTTCCCTGCTCCCTTTCTGAAAACAGCTTGAAGGCTAGCAGGCAGGCAGACACAAGTTACAGAAAATGCTCTATTTTGAAACGTCTTCATCTGGACCCTCATGCAATGAGGGTTCTGATTTTCACGCAATCAGCCATTTTTAAGTAGTTGGCAGCTGTGTACATGTGTTTAGTCGCATAGACAGCTTTCTGTGGCCAAAGCAGGCAAAATATTCTGTCTGCACCCTTAAAGGCTGCCTAAACTACCTTCTTTTTTCTCCCCTGGGTTTCTTGAATCTGTTTAAACTGGTTCAGGTAGCCCAGCCAGGGTGTCAGAGAGAGACTGATATGGGTTCGCTGTCCCTGTCATGAATGAGGATTCCTTTCTAGGTGGAGTTCCTGATAACCCTATTTGAGAAATACCTGTATAAATGCTTATAGTAAACAGTTCAGTAACCATCATAAATGCAGCAGTCAGAAATTATTCCAGACTGCTCCAAATCTGTCCGCATCCAAATCAGGATGTTTGCCGATCTCCTGCCAAATGGCTTGCTTTTTTTTAACTGCTCAGATTTTAGATGACCAATTAGGCTATTTCTGTGCAAAAGCACATCAACTGGAATAGACGTGTGAGAAGGGAAAACTCCTAACTGTCCAACTGATGAAACGTGCAGTTAATATGAATTAGAGACACAATGCTATAAGTCACTGCTTACTGCAGAGCTGTCCTATTTGAGTCATGCATTACTATTAAGAAACACAATATTAACAGTACAAATTACTATATTTGACTTAAGGCACTTTCTCATGTTCAGTCGCTCACAAATGTTAAGTACTGAGTTCTGTACTTCCTTTATGGAATTTGATATATTCTGCTTGGTTCCCTAGAGGCTATATCACCCTCATTTTTATGCACAGAAATAATTTTGCACTGATGATGTCTTTTGCATCAAGTCAAAACACTCCCAACAATTTCAGTGGAGCATAATCAAAGTTTTGACATAAATATGGAAAGGAGACCAAGATCCCATATGACCTCCTGTGGATCTTGTAAACTAAGATTTAGCAAATTCTGTTGGATGATTTGGCATATTTCAAAATATTGGGAGAGGGGTTTAAATTGTTGGACTTTGAACTCAGAGGTAACGGGAGGATCTCTTACACCATAAAACAAAAAAACCAGACAAACAAGTGAATTTCTATAAATGGTTTAAGTTCTGTTTAGTGTCTATAATTAGACATCAATGCAAAACATTTTTCGTAAACAGAGCAGTCCAACTCTCGAGGTTCCCATTGGAAGAACAAATACTGACTGCAGCATTCAGGGCAAAATCTAACAAATTAATGGGAAGAAGTCTTAGAGAAGTCCTACGACCCCAGATGTGGGCCTGTGATTTCAGATGGCTTTATCTGTCCCTACTGTATGGTAGCTAATTTGTGTGGCTTCAAAGTGCAGTTTCCTAATGCCTTGAGACCATGGGTGCTAAGGACATCAGTGGAGAATCTGGCTTTGTCTCGTTGCATTAGAAATCATGCTTTGCAAAATACAAAGAGCCTGATTCCCGCAAGGACACTTCACACTGCACACATGGTCCCATTACTAATCAAAATGAGGTAAAGAAAGAGACCTTAATGTAAATAGAACTGGGCTCCATTTCTTCTCTCTTGCATTTCTTTAGTCTGGGGCTTGAACTGGGTCTACTTCTGGTGACTGTGCTTCAACCTAGTTGGGTTTTTTCCCTTATGCTTCAGAACAAAAGCCCCCATTTAAAGATTAAAATGGAGTTTCTAGCAATTATAACTGAATGCGTGAACAGCGTGTAAACCAGTGTAAAGTTAACTTCTTGAGTCTGCAGGTGGCTTAAAACAAGATCTCTGAGTGTGGAGTTAGATGCCTTCTGCTCCTCTCCTTGTTTGTTACCATTGTTAACATTCAGAGTTAACTTAACTCCATCTGTCACTGTAAAGTACCCTGACATTGGTATCGATTAGATGCAAATCTTGGGGATATTGCCATTCTTCATGGCATGTTTTCTAAGGAGATGCCTGTATCCTACCTTACTGAAGGGGACAAATGCAGAGCAGTGTTGTTTCCTTGTTACTTTTGCTGTGGCTGGAAGTGTGGGGGGGAAAATAAGACATATGGCTCTTTTATATTCTCAAGCAACACTGTGTGTTAATGGGAACATAAGATCACTGCTGACCTAAATCCAATGGATCTGAAGACATGGGGGGTTCTTGGACCCTGAGGAAGCCTACGTGACTCTCCCTCCCCCTTTCTAGCACGGTATTAAAATTAGCGGCTCTTGCTTCCTCAAGATTTAAACCGATGAACTGTACGGCATTCCCCTGGCACTGCTGAGTCGGCTTCTTAAAACACTCCCTTAGCAGGTCTGCTTCCTCCCTCTCTGTTTTAGTATTGGTCTTGGTAAAACAACTTTCCCTCTGACAGTCGCTACCTGCAGCATCGTCACAACCCTGGCCCCTAGTTTGGGCTTAAGGGAATTTTGCCCAAGCCGTTTCAGTTCAGTGCTTTATACTAAGGGGATGGGTTCCTCTCACTCCATGTCAGAGGAGATTCAAGAACTTGCTGAGAAGACTGGCTGTGAGTATTATTTCATGCTTAGTTCCCTTGTTGCCACTGTCTTATTTTTAATCATTGCAAATGGTTTATGGAAGATCTGAGAGGCTACCTTTCTTTTTTTTTAATGCATCTCCGACTACTGTTTCTGCAAACATTGCACCAAGCACAGAGCTTGTGATAAATGTGGCTTAACTGCAAAAATGCTTTTGGGCTTGAGGGTTGCTTTATCTTGTTGCAGTCTATAGCAGCTTTCAAAACCTAAGCAAGTGATGACAACTAGATGACAGTACTTGGTTGGGAAGGAAGGTTGTGAAAGTTAACTTAAAATACAGGCTGCTCAGTTCGCACTGACAATTCAGCCCTCGGATGAGACTAACTGCAGTTCTGAGAGCCTTGCTAGTAGCTGACTATGATGCATGGATTTGCAAGGACTCCTGAGAACTGAGAAACTGAATATGCAAACCCGTACTTTTGTATAACAGATGGGTGACCTTGGGACAACCATAAAACCATCTCTTGCCTCAGCATCCCCTGTTGTTTATTGGAGATAACACCAAATACTTACAGTAAAAGGATTACAAATTACCTAGCACTGCAAATCTAGGAGTCTGTATAATGGACAGACGTCCCCTGTACTGTAACTGATTTCTTACCCTTGTAATCTACCAGCATCCCTAACGAGCATGGGTTTTTAAGCTACAGCTGGTTGTAAGAGATGTTGAAGTTTACTAAGCTGGCTCAATTTATGAAGTGTAAATGCATGATCCACTTGAATTCATGTACATTTTTCATGAGCATATTTTTCAGTTTAGGCTACTGCAGTTATGGATCAATCAGAGGTTTCCATTTGTACCTTACAACTGGGAGTGATTTTAAATGTATACCGCATGCTTGCCAAAACCTGATCCTAAACCTAGGATCTAGACAACCTCAATGCAAGAAGTTCATAATCCTTTCTCTAGTTCAGCCTCCTCTTCCAAAGCTGGAGAGTGTTTGAACCTGGAGTTTCATTTTGAACCTTGCTATAAAAATACAAGTTGTAAAAGGCATGCATCTGCACCTAGGTTCAGATCCTGAATACCAGAACGCTGAGTTCTGGGGTCTTTATGAAAAGAAAATGTGTATGCATGTGTAGTGTATAGATGCGCACGAACATGTATTTTTGGGCATAGGCTAAGGTAATAGAGTTTTTTAAGGTTTGGATTCTTTTGGGTTTTATGTGCAATTCTGAACTTTTAAAGGCAAGATTTTTGCCTCTTATTCACAACATAAACCTTATTGGAATTAAATATTTTGTATTTTTTGATAGAAATGCTCTTAATTAGAACAGGTGGCAAGCAAGCATGTAACATGCATGTTCTAACATGTAACTAGGAAATGACCAACTGCATATAAGGGACCAGGTTGGAAGATAAATGTTACTCCTTCTAAAAGATTATATTCATCACAGGTCTGAAGAGCCACAGTGCCATGGAAGTCACTTGAGTTAATATTATTTTGTTTGTAACTAAAGAACGAATGTATTCAGGGTACATAATCTGACATGGCCTCTTGTTTTCTTTATCCCTGATGATAGAAGGGTTGACATAATGTCATAGTCATCCTCCTGGATTAAATATCCTGAACAGCCTGAAAAACAGCTGTTAAAACTAAATACTCTCAGCAAAAAGTATGAGGAACTTTCCATCACCAAAGCCTTTTAACAGCATTAAATGCATGTCTTTTTTCTTCCCTAGTTGCATTGGCATTATTCTACTGAAGCCATAGACTGGTTTTACCCTGTGCACTTCTCAGCTGCGTGTTTTACCAGATGGAGCGTGTCTGGGAAATGAACTTCCCCAGTACGGAGGGGAAGTGCTTGGGACAGGGGCTTTGTGGTATTCCCCCCCCCCCCCCCCCCC